AAGGACGGACACCGTGAGTCTGTTCACCAGGAAAAGTCCCTGTCTTTATTTTCATCATCAAGCTTAAATACTGTAACAAACGGGGCGACCGTGGCCTGCGCCCATTGGCCAGGCCCTGGCTAGGCGGGTGGGAAGTATCAAACATTATTTACAAAAGAACCTGTAAGCTGGGGTTTTTGGGTCTGTGCCCATGTACGAGGATGTAGACAGCCAGACCCTAGTCAAGGTTGCGGGCACTTCCTTATCAGCCTGAGGCCCAGAATTGCTAACTAAGCTAAACTGCTAAGCCAAACTGCTTTCCTTCAGGTTTGGGAGTGTCCAGACTAAGGAAACTTGAGTTGGAGGCAGATGTGGGGGCACTAAAATAGGCACTTATAGTGGAGAAAGCAAAGGAAAAGTCACAAAGAAACTTAGGGTTGTGTTACCAGAGTTTCCAGGAGATGAGAAAGAAGGCGAGAGACTGAGGGTTGAACTAGGTAGATTAGTGATAGGAACACTAAAAATATACTACTTGATATGGCAATTAGGCCATATCAAGTAATAATTAGGCCACTGGTAATTCAACAGAGCAGTCTGCACAGTGGTGATGAAGGTAGAATGCAGTGGGCTGAATAGAGATTAGGAGTTGAGGGTACCAAATGCAGACTCTTAAAGAAGCTGGATGAGAAAGGATGCGTGAGATGGAATAATTAGGAAGGGCTGTATTGTATGAAACCATTAACTTGGGTATTGAGCACAGGATCTAGGATATAACAAGTGTTAAAGAAACAAAATGCTGTGCATTCAATTGACTGATCAGTTTAAAACCTTCGTGTATGCCAGAATATTCTACCAAGTTCCAGAACAGGTACTATATAACCTCCCATATATGGTAGGTGAACAAGAGAAACAAAAATTCCTGCTGAAGTTTACATTCTATTGGAAAAAGACAAGAAAAGAAATCTCATGACATATAGTGTATTTGATAGTAGGGACTGCTAAAGAGAAAGAATAAACTAAGGAAAGGATATAAAATGCTGAAGGAGGAAATGAAATTTTATAAAGTGTGGCCTAGGGAGGCTTCACTGAGAAGGTGACTTTTTTTTTTTTTTTAAGATTTGTTTATTTGTGCATACAGAACTGGAGCGCAGGGCAGAGGTGCAGGGGCAGTGAGAGGATTCACCGCAGACAGAGTGGGGAGCAGAACAGGCAGACTGATGAAGTACTGCTGAGGGGAGCAGGGGGCGAGATAGGAGAGGTCTGCTGTGCCATGTGGGTCACCTCCCTGGCTGGGGATCAAAATTATGCTGAAGTGGCTGCAGCCATCTTTGTAATATTGTACCTTAACCCATTGCACCACCAGGGAGGGCCCTAAAGGTGATTTATAAGGGCCAAAGGAAGTGAGGAAAGTTACTATGATAAAGCAATGAAGGAATAATTACTATCACCATTGTCATTAGCATTCTTTATTATTAATACAATCAATATTAATATACTATTATTAATATCATTGCTTTCTCTGGCTTTTGAATAGCAGAGTCTAGCAGCTACATTTTAATTTTAGGACAAATTACAACCAGAACTGGGAAACTAAAGAATGACCTGAGACACCATTGCTAGTTTATCAAGGCAGAAGCAAAGCTAAAATGTGATTGAGTTGCCCATGGAGTCCGTGCAAACAAAAAAGCTGCTTTCTATGTACACTGAGAGGAAAGGCCAATGCCAGACTGATCTCTGTCCATGCTGCATGTCAGGATGGTCACATAACAGATCATCTTCAGACCCAAAGGGCATCAACAGCTCTGAAACCACAGGAAAACAGCAACGGCCGCTTCAGTCAGGGAGTATGTTGTGTGTGACGCGGCAGCCATGAGACAGGGTTCTGTGCTCAAGCCGTGTTTCTACCAGAACATTTATTTTGTTGTTAGGGGTAGGAATGAGCCAGAACCATCTGGGTATAATTAAGGAGACATGGAAATTCGTGCTGGTTATCCAGTCTAGCACAATGCCGAGAATAGGTGGGTGTATAATAAATTCTTACTGGATTACACTGATCAGGGGTATCAACACTTGATTGTGATTCATACACACAAGTTTCTTTAATTTATTGATTTAGACTAATAACCATTCTTTGCAAGTCAGGAGAAATTATTTAAAAAAAAAAAAAAGTAAAAAGAAACAGGAAGAGTTCAAATGCCTGAGGACTCATATGATTGTCAATGTGCTTCAGTTGCTACCATATGTTTTTTTTTTTTTTAAAGATTTATTTATTTGTGCATACAGAACTGGGGTACAGGCCAGAGGC